GATGAAAGTATTGTTTTGGGATATAGGAAGGACGAAAACGCGTGGGACTGTTCAAATTTTGCGAAGTACGAGGGCGGCGCGACAGCTGCAGTAAGCCAATATCAGCATGCCACGTGTCATAGGGATGAGAATCGATTCAGTTTCTGTGATTGAAGGGACGTTGTGACCGGACAAGCACAACTCGGCTTAAGTTTTAGCTCGGCTGGGAGGGTTAAAAGTATATAGCTCGGCTGGAAAGGGTAAAGGGTTTTTTAGCTCGGCTGAAAAGATAAAACTTTAGCCCGGTTTATAGATAGGTAATCCCTATCATGCTACGCAGATGGAATTAAGGGGCAATTGAGAGGGTAATTTATACTTATAAATTAGGCCGAGCTGGGTAATAAGCTGTTATGGGCCATGTTGCGAAGGACTGAGTAAAAAGGCCATGAAGTTACTCCGGCCCAAGAGAGGTGTAAAGTTACTCCGGCCCAAGAGGGGTATAAAGTTACTCCAGTCCGAAAGAATCTTGAGGTTACTCCGGTCTAAAGGAAGCTTTGAACAAAGCCCGATTGCCGAACTCAAAGTTAGTCCGGTCTCGGCTTATCGAGGTTGTCTCGGCCAGAACCTTGCTGTTTGATAGCTCGGTCTAATCACACCATGGTTGGCACTAGGAGAAACCTGGGTAAGAGCAATGAATGGAAGAGCCGAACTAAAGTTAGCTCGGTCTAGTTTGCGGCTTAGCATAAGCCATGCTTACCTCGGTCATAGTGGAATCCAACCATGGTAAAACCATCTCACTTGGTTTGAGCAGTGAGGGGGGTGTTGAAGGATAAGTATTATCTTTCAGGAGTATGAATCCTAGGAGGACTCTACATGGAGGAGTAAGAGTCCTACTTGGATTGTGCCACACGGAACCTATAAAAGCTCACAAATATCACCTATGGAGAGGTAACACAACTTTGCTTTCTGAATACATAGAGCTTTTGTCTATTTGTCAAACTTACTGACTTAGGCATCGGAGAGGTTTCCGGCACACACCCGCCGGCTAGCTCACGTTTGTGTTTTCAGGTGATAAAGCGACGACGTAAGGAGGAGCGCAGACTTTATCAACAGGATTATATGAGAAGGTTTATTTCTTTCCCGTACAAATATTATCACAAAATTAATATTTTTAATTTTAACACAAATCAAATCCCTAATTTTAACACAAACAACAACAAAACAAAATTCCTAATTTTAATATAAATCACCACCAATCAAAATTCATAATTTTAGCATTTCAAAATCTTTTATTTTAACATAAATAATGACAAATAAATTATTTTTTTTAAAAAAAAAATTCAAAACTTAACAAATAACTATAAATTAATACTCATAATTTTTATTTGAAAGTAAAAAATAATAAATAAAGTTACTTGTAAACAATGAAGAGAAGACACTAAAAGTTGTAGTGTGGTCCCAAATTTGTGTTGTGTGATCCCAATATGGTGAATCGTAAGTCGGTAAATTGCAAAACAACAAAGGGAGACAAAGAAGACAAAGAAAATACGAAAACACTTAACAAGTACTGTGAATAAATAAAAAAAAAAAGAATTTCATACAGTTTTAGAATTTTAGAGATCCTGCCAGCAATCGCTGAAAGCCTTACCCAACAAGGTTTTTTTTTTTTTTTTTTTTTTAAGATTAACCCTTGCTCAGCAAGTTAAGAGTTACAAAAAAAATAAAAAATAAAAAATAAAAAATCGAGACTTTGGAAATTGGGGGGAGGGGCTATATTAGTGTTTATCAGTGTTTGTGTGTATCAGTATTTAGCTAGGAGTCTAGGATCCCAATTTTATATTTTTTTTGAAAAGTCAGGATGTGGGATGTCAGTATTTAGTTTGGGCTATGTGTTAGAGTTTAGCTAAGACTTAAAAAATAAATAAATTAAAATAAATTAAAAAAAAAAAAAGAAATGTCAGGGAGGCATGTGACCCCCCTAGTCCCTTAGTGCCTCCGCCTCTGATGCTGTGTCTATGTCTGACATAATATGCATATCCACATGTATTGACACACCACGTGATATGCCAATTCTTTTGGTTATTATGTTTTTGTACGACACATTAGAGACACAAATGTATTGGGTGATTATTCAGTACTCCCGGAGTATGGACACGTGGTGCTCCATAAGGTTTTGATTGGTGAAGAGATATAAGGGTCCACGATTTATATTGGAAATGACGGAACAACATGGGGCTAAGTAATTAGTGATTGATTTGGAGTATGGACACGTGGTGCTCTAGGAGTATTGAATAATTCCCTCAACTATATTATGTTTGGATTTTTATAGTTTTGTATAGTATGAGGAAGAGGATGAGAATAAGGAAAGAAAGATTTGATATTCTCAGCTTGGAAGTCCAAGGAATTTGGCGTATTTCCATTGAACTGCAATGCCCCTTATCATATAAAACAATATTCATATGGATATTATCTTAAGAATCCACACATCTTGGTCCACTACGCCAAAATTGGGCTTTAGCGGTGGTTTTTTACCGCCGTTAAAGGTTGTAAAATCGTCGTTAAAGCCTTTAACGGCGGTATTAACAGCGGTTTTGTTACCGCCGTTTATGCGCGTGTCGGAAAAAGTACAACCGTCGTAAAAAGGTAAATTACCGTCGTTAAAAGTCGACCAAAAACGGCGGTAACATAGGACCAAAAACGGCGGTTTTTACCGCCGTAAATAGGTTCAAATTTTTCAAAAAATAATTCTTTCTTCTTGCACTCCCCAATTCTTGAACCCTCAACCTCTCATCCACCCACACTAACCACTCTACCATAGCCACTCTTCATGAAATATATTTCCTAAATAAATATTTAAACATTACTTTTACTTTATTGAAGATGGTTTCGCCGGAGCTTGCCGGAGTTTCACCGGAGCACGCCAGAGTTTCGCCGGCAAAGACCGCCGTCATTAGCGGCGGTAATGATTGGGCATTAGCGGTGGTTTTATTATCGCCGTTAAAAGTGGGCATTAACGGCGGTTTTTTTAACGGCGGTAACAAAACCGCCGTTAATGATACCTTTAACGACGGTTTTCGTTACCGCCGTTAATAGTACCTTTAACGACGATTTTCGTTACCGCCGTTAAAAAAACCGCCGTTAATACCCTGTTTTGGCGTAGTGGTCCTACATTTCAACTAATGCTTGCATAAGTTTAAAACATTAACGTTCAATCCTCTAAAAGCCATTGTTGATTGTTGTAAGATATTATATTTATTTTTCTTTCTTGCAACTTGTGATCTTGTGGTCAATCGAACAGAGCATACAAATTTTGAGAATATAAGAAATTAAATGCTGATGCCACCAAAGGAGGCAGAGGAAATTCCCCAATTTTATTTATGGAATAATTATGTTAAGAATGCAAAAGATTTTTTTATAAAATAAGATATAGATGGGAGACAAAGTGTACGATTCACATAAGCAGTGGCAGAGTCAGAAAATTAAATTAGATATGACATTTTTTAATTACAATATAAAAAAATTTTACAAAAATATTCTATGCAAGTTTTTATGATTGATTTCGAGAAACATCAAAAAAATAATATTATTTATAACTAGGGTATCATGGATAATACAAAAAAAAATGGATATAAGTCTTAAAATAAATTATATAATGACAAAAAAATTTTTTTACACAATTTGATAAAAAATTCAATGTAGTGGTAATACTATATCATCATTGACATATGATATCACCAATTAATAGTACATAAACGCATAGAGAGGGAACTTCACATGTCAAATATAACTAACAATTCAATAAATTTCATATCTTTATAGTGAGATTATTTACAATTGCATATCAATAATAATGACATCTCCGTTACATTCAAAAAAATTTATAAATAATACAGTTTATAGTCTCTTCATTTTCAATTAAAACAATCATTATTGTTCTAATAATTTTTAAAATGTCATTGACATTTCACTCTAATAATATTTTTATAATTTTTTTATTTAAAATATTTTTTTATATTTGTAAAATTTTTAAAAAAAAATCTCAAAATTTAAGGGGGACACGTGACCCCCTAGACCTTCACTCCCTCCGCCACTGCACATAACTGGAGTTCGCGGACGACACCCACCTTTTATCTCACATCTATATCGTCTTCTGGGAAGTTAGACTATTTCTATGTATATAATTGCTCTTCAAATGATGCTATCTTCTGCCATGCTTAATGAAGCTAATTAGAGATCAAAATTAAGTCTTCAATATCACCAATATAACTAATCTATCAACTAATCACTAACTTTCACTTGATAATATATATATATATACATCAATTTTTAAAATTACAGATGTCCTACATCATAATCAAAGAACTGCTCTTATATTGTTTTTTCCTAAGTAAATTTCTAGCTTCACCTTCACCGCAAACTACATAATCCTTTATAATTCATAATTATGATGTTGGGTCAATATACTCATTACAATATTACTGTATGCGGAGCTTTTTAGATTTAGCTAGTATATTCAAATTTTAGACACTTCTAAACATATATATATATATATATATATATATTTATATTCATAGTTATGAATAAGAGGCATGTTAAAAAATTCAAGGAGACATGACTGCTAACCTAACTATTGGCTTGAGAGTTAAGAGCTCTCCTCTTTGAACATCATTTACACAAGACTAAGCTAAAATTCCAAGTCACCAAAGATGGCCCTATCATGACTTTAAGAATCAATACACCAAATCTCATCTAACCTTCTTAAATTATGAAGAGAAATGGTAATATATACTTCTTTTAAAAGGATATATTATATATATTTTTAATTATATATACTTTTTTTATACTTATAATTAATTTTTTTCTTTAGTTATAATATCATTGTAGTTATAACTTATAAATATTTTTTAGTTATGGCTCATGTTGTGCTTAGTTATGATATATATATATTTTAAAGTCATGACCCAGAAAATTAAAATTATGTCATATTTTTTAAAATTATAAAGTATATATAATACATATTATTTGAAGGGTACATTACAATGTTTCCCAATTATAAATAATGAAGTAATAGTGTCACATATATAATCAAGATTAAAAATGAAAAAATAAAAAGTAATCTTCTCACTCTTATCTACAAAATTTGCCACCCAAAAGAAAAAAGAAAAGAAAACGACATTAAAGGAAGGGAACCCAAATTTGCCAGACCTTAATGTCACAATCCAAACTACCACTATAGACCTTATAACTAGTTCCAGATGAAGAATTGCTTTCACCATTACAGCTATCTACAGCTGCAGCCAAACACTTGACTGGTCCTCTAGGCCCTTCAAGCACTGCCAAACAAGAATAACTCCTCTCAATTCCTTTCCTCCAAATCCTAACCGTTTTGTCAGCAGATCCACTGCATATCAAATTTGACACGACCGCTAAGCACAGAATCGCCTTGGTATGCCCTCTCAGTGCACCCACCACCACCATATTCCCACACCCACCACCATCACTGCCACCACCATTTTTTTCCCACACAATTATGGACCGATCACAAGCTCCCGAATACAACACCGACCCATCAGTACTAATCGCCAAAGCATTAACAGCAGATCTGTGTTTCTCTAATGTATCGATTAAACTATGCCTCTTCTCTCCCTCCTTCTTCTTCCACACCTTGATCTTCTTATCGGCCGAGCCAGTGTAAACAAACCCGTCAGTGGACAAGACAATCGCATTAATAGCGTCGTCGTGAGCATTTTGCACCGATTCCAAACACTTGAAATGGGAAGTACTCCACACTTTGAAAGTCCGGTCCCACGAGACAGAGAAAATTTGAGAGCCATTTTGAGATAAAGCGAGACCTGAAACGGTATCGACGTGATGAACCCAGGTAGACTTCTTGTGGCGCCGGACCTCCACGTAGTTCTTCGCCCAGAACAGCTTGGCGGCGCGATCGTTGAGAGTTGGAAGTGTTGCTATGATTTTGTATGGTTTTTGGTTATCGTTGTTATCGATCTTCCATACACGGATTTTGTGGTCTTGGTGAGCGCTGAAGAGTTTGTCTCCTAAAATTGCTATAGATTTGACGGCGGAGTCGCCGGAGGCGACGACGGTGGTGGTGGTGGAGGAGTGGTCGAGGGTTGATGGATCTCGGCTAGATTTGTGAATTTCGCTGGTGGAGGAGCCGCTGTAGAGGTGTTTTCCGGCGAGGGTGAGGGAGAAGACGGAGGAGGAGTGGTGGTTGAGGGTGGTGATGCAGTGGTGGTGGGTGGTGGTGGAGGAGGAGGAAAGGGAGGTTAGGGAAGGAATGGAGGGGAGACTTGGTTGAGAGGAGAGAGAGGAGTGTGGTGAGTGGAGGTTGTTGGAGGAGTGAAATTGATGAGAGTCAGAATCTTCATATGATTGGCATGGCAAAGGACATGGAAGAAGTCTCATTTTCGTACTATTTCTGAAGCTGGCTAGAGAGGGAGAGAGACTATATGGGTGGATGGGAGGTTCAATTCACAAAACTTATAAAGAAATTGAAATGGGATGGGGCGTATTTTAGCAAAATGCGCATTGTAGCAAAAAGAGTCAGAGTGGCGGACTGTTAAATTTTGACGCTTCGAGTCAAGTTGGGCTAAATGCGCGTTCAATTTATCCAAAGAAAAATGTTTTAAAGTTTGAAATTTTTCGACTTGGGTGGTTTAAATTTAAAACGTTGTCGTTTTGATTTTTTTTTTTTTTCTTTTTTATTTGTGAAACATAGGAAGAAAGGAAGAGAAAAAGACACAGAAGAGAGAAGAAAGGAAAAGAGAAGAGAAAGAGGAAACATAGCCCTGTTTGATAAGGGGATATGAAGATTGGGATTGGATATTATATTCGATGGGGTCCATATATCTCATGTTTGTAATTTTTTTTTGAAAGGGATATAATATCCGGTGGGATTGTAAATCCCCCAAAAGTGGAGGATATACAATACCATCCCCCCATTATATCATATCCCCTTGGTTGGGATATGATGTAAAAAGTCCAATTTACCCTTTTGTCTATCTAACATAATATAATTTAATATATTTTTTTGAATTTAATATAATATAATTATTGAATTTAATTTAATATTATTGAATTTAATATAATATAATATAATATTATTTAATTTAATTTAATATAATATAATATTATGAGGGCAATCTTGGAAATTACTTGTTATATCCCACAATATATTTTGTAAAACAAACATGCATAACATATATCCAATCTTATATATCAAGTCAACAAACATGACTTGGGAGATATACTATCCAATACCTATATCCTATTCATTATATATCCTGACTAAATCCCACATCATGTTATATCCTCCATTTTATATCCAGTGAAACAAACGGGGCAATAGAGACTTACCGGTGCCGCCATCCTCCATAGATCTGTGTATATAAAGACAGATCTGTGTGTATACACAGATTTGCATTGATCTGTGTATCTCTCTCTGTGTATCTCTCTCTCTGATTAGTTTTGATCTGTAAGTTTGATTTTTGGTTTTGATTTGAATATTTATGGGTTTGATTTTTAGTTTTGATTTGTAAGTTTGATTTTTAGTTTTGATTTATATTGGGTTTGATTTGAATTGATTTCTCTGTTTGTTTCTTAGGGTTACTTTTCTCAGAAAATGTAATCTTTGTTCAAACCATGAGAGGACCATTTTCCCTTATTTGATAAATGTGGAGTCTTTGCCCAAAAATTTCTAGTCATCGGAGTTGCTGCTTTTCCTAATCCACTGTGACTTGTTCGACCTTGTCCTACTTTTTGGAAATCAATCCCAGAGAGAGAGAGAGAGAGAGATTCACATAACATCCCTCATGAATCTGTATGTATGGGTTTTGATTGATTTTTGAGCTTCCACTTCACATGTTGATGTCAAGGTTTCTGGTTTCTATGGAGAAAGCAAAGTATGCAACTCTGGAACTGGTCTCAGTGGTAATTTTGTGCTTATGCAACGCCTCTGTGCAAGTGCAATGCCAAAAGAGGTCCTCAACTAATCATGTCTTCTTCTTTCTTCTTCTTTTCTTTCTTATTCTTCTGCGAGTTATGAGTCTTCTTTATTCTCCTCTCCTCTTCTCTTCTTTCTTCTTCTTCTGTAAGTTATGGAAAGGACAAAGAAAAAAGAAAAAAAAAGTCAAAATGACGTCGTTTTGAGATTTTGACTACTTGACCGTCTAATTTTTTGAGCAATCTAGCGAGGTTGTTATCCAAATTTTCTTATGCTTTACATTCCTTTGCAAATATTTTTTTTGGAAGTAAATAAAAAATATATATAAATAATTATTATTTTGAATTTGTCATTTTAAAATTGAAGGACTTTTAAATTGATTTGTATCTTTAAAAATGATCGTAACATTATTTTAATAAAAAAAATTATGTAAGTCTGAGTTGATTGAAGAGTAAAAATTTGAAAATAAAATCGAAAATCTTGAGTTCGAGTCATCTTAAGAGATCATTGGAAATTTATTCAGTCGTTAATTTTAAAACTCTAAGATTAATCGAGATATCGTTAACTTCAGGAACCTAAAAAAAATCATGTATAAAAATGTTATTTTCCTTTTTTTTGAGTATAATTTCTTAGTACATTTTCATAAGGAGAACATATGTCTTTTTGCCACCTCTAGGTACGAGTTAGGATTATAGATAAACCAATTTATTATCTTGTTTTCAATTCATTTATGTAAATCCAACTTGAGTTAGAATAAGTGAGTAATTACTCAATAATCTTAAAATTTATTAAATGACATTATTCACATGATGTTCTTAATTAATGATGTAAAAAAAATGTAAGTAATTGATAAAGAAAAATGTTAGGGATACTAACAATCTTACTAACATACTCATAAGTTGATGTGAGTCCCATACCAAATAATGGTTAATCTTATTAAAACTTGTGAGTGTAATAGTAAGATTATTAGATCTCGTTTGGGAACAAGTTTTTTTAGTAACTTTATGACTTTTTAGCTAAAATATGATATAAAAAAACTAATATATTTGGGATGACTTTTTGATTTTTTATAACGACAATGCTACGTAGCTCAAATTTTGTGGCTCAAAAGTGGCTCAAATGGCCAAAACGACGTCGTTTTGAGTACAGAAATGTTGTTCTGTACTCAAAACGACGTCGTTTTGGCCATTTGAGCCACTTTTGAGCCACAAAATTTGAGCTACGTAGCATTGTCGTTATAAAAAATCAAAAAGTCATCCCAAATATATTAGTTTTTTTATATCATATTTTAGCTAAAAAGTCATAAAGTTACTAAAAAAACTTGTTCCCAAACGAGATCTAATAATCTTACTATTACACTCACAAGTTTTAATAAGATTAACCATTATTTGGTATGGGACTCACATCAACTTATGAGTATGTTAGTAAGATTGTTAGTATCCCTAACATTTTTCTTTATCAATTACTTACATTTTTTTTACATCATTAATTAAGAACATCATGTGAATAATGTCATTTAATAAATTTTAAGATTATTGAGTAATTACTCACTTATTCTAACTCAAGTTGGATTTACATAAATGAATTGAAAACAAGATAATAAATTGGTTTATCTATAATCCTAACTCGTACCTAGAGGTGGCAAAAAGACATATGTTCTCCTTATGAAAATGTACTAAGAAATTATACTCAAAAAAAAGGAAAATAACATTTTTATACATGATTTTTTTTAGGTTCCTGAAGTTAACGATATCTCGATTAATCTTAGAGTTTTAAAATTAACGACTGAATAAATTTCCAATGATCTCTTAAGATGACTCGAACTCAAGATTTTCGATTTTATTTTCAAATTTTTACTCTTCAATCAACTCAGACTTACATAATTTTTTTTATTAAAATAATGTTACGATCATTTTTAAAGATACAAATCAATTTAAAAGTCCTTCAATTTTAAAATGACAAATTCAAAATAATAATTATTTATATATATTTTTTATTTACTTCCAAAAAAAATATTTGCAAAGGAATGTAAAGCATAAGAAAATTTGGATAACAACCTCGCTAGATTGCTCAAAAAATTAGACGGTCAAGTAGTCAAAATCTCAAAACGACGTCATTTTGACTTTTTTTTTCTTTTTTCTTTGTCCTTTCCATAACTTACAGAAGAAGAAGAAAGAAGAGAAGAGGAGAGGAGAATAAAGAAGACTCATAACTCGCAGAAGAATAAGAAAGAAAAGAAGAAGAAAGAAGAAGACATGATTAGTTGAGGACCTCTTTTGGCATTGCACTTGCACAGAGGCGTTGCATAAGCACAAAATTACCACTGAGACCAGTTCCAGAGTTGCATACTTTGCTTTCTCCATAGAAACCAGAAACCTTGACATCAACATGTGAAGTGGAAGCTCAAAAATCAATCAAAACCCATACATACAGATTCATGAGGGATGTTATGTGAATCTCTCTCTCTCTCTCTCTCTGGGATTGATTTCCAAAAAGTAGGACAAGGTCGAACAAGTCACAGTGGATTAGGAAAAGCAGCAACTCCGATGACTAGAAATTTTTGGGCAAAGACTCCACATTTATCAAATAAGGGAAAATGGTCCTCTCATGGTTTGAACAAAGATTACATTTTCTGAGAAAAGTAACCCTAAGAAACAAACAGAGAAATCAATTCAAATCAAACCCAATATAAATCAAAACTAAAAATCAAACTTACAAATCAAAACTAAAAATCAAACCCATAAATATTCAAATCAAAACCAAAAATCAAACTTACAGATCAAAACTAATCAGAGAGAGAGATACACAGAGAGAGATACACAGATCAATGCAAATCTGTGTATACACACAGATCTGTCTTTATATACACAGATCTATGGAGGATGGCGGCACCGGTAAGTCTCTATTGCCCCGTTTGTTTCACTGGATATAAAATGGAGGATATAACATGATGTGGGATTTAGTCAGGATATATAATGAATAGGATATAGGTATTGGATAGTATATCTCCCAAGTCATGTTTGTTGACTTGATATATAAGATTGGATATATGTTATGCATGTTTGTTTTACAAAATATATTGTGGGATATAACAAGTAATTTCCAAGATTGCCCTCATAATATTATATTATATTAAATTAAATTAAATAATATTATATTATATTAAATTCAAAATTCGTATTAAATTAAATAATATTATATTAAATTAAATTAAATTATATTATATTAAATTAAATTAAATAATATTATATTAAATTAAATTAAATAATATTATATTAAATTAAATTAAATAATATTATATTAAATTAAATTAAATAATATTATATTAAATTAAATTAAATAATATTATATTAAATTAAATTAAATAATATTATATTAAATTAAATTAAATAATATTATATTAAATTAAATTAAATAATATTATATTAAATTAAATTAAATAATATTATATTAAATTAAATTAAATAATATTATATTAAATTAAATTAAATAATATTATATTAAATTAAATTAAATAATATTATATTAAATTAAATTAAATAATATTATATTAAATTAAATTAAATTAAATAATTAAATTAAAT